TTGCATCTCCCAGCTCACATCACAGTGTTTGTTTTAAAATCAAACCAGTAGTTAGAAATGGACATTTGTGAAGGTGTGGAGCCCAGTGCTTTTGCTGGGACCTTAATTCTTCTTCTTCCTTCTTAGGTATCCTGGAAACCAGATGAGAGAGGTTCAAGTATAGATGCTGACTGGTGTTGTTGTTAGGTGTCACTGAGTCGGTTCCAACTCACAGTAACCCCTGCACAACAGAACACAACTCTGCCTAGTCCTGCACCATCCTCACCATTATTATGTTTGAGTCCACTGTTGAAACCTCTGTGTCAATCCATTTTGCTGAGGATCTTCCTCTTTGTCGCTGACCCTAAATCCCTACAAACGGACACATTCTGCTGATATTCAGCCATAGGCCTGCATTCATGGGATGCTCACTGGAAACCTGATGCTGGGCTGCGGACAACCCAGAAATTAATTAGGTGAGAACTCACACTCAGGAAGGGGCTAACAATGCTGGTGGTGGTGGTGGTGTGCCATTGAGTTAGTTCAGACTCACAGTGACCCTGTATAGGGTTTCCAAGGCTGTACATCTTTACGGGATTAGAAAGCCTCATCGTTCCCTTGTGGAGTTGTGGGTAGCAGCTTAACTCATAACCCACTACGTTACCAGGGCTCCTTGAGCTAATGATATTGGTGGCTAAACAGGGTGAACTATGCCAGGGGGCTCAGTGTATACTGAATTTCTTTTTATTTTCAGATTCAGGATGCTTTGCTAGGGGCAAGCTCCCCAGTACAAGTGTGTTATGTTATTGTTAGTGTTAAGTGCCGTAGAGTCAGTTCTGACTCATAGTGATGCAGTATAGGATTTCTAAGAAACAGCTCGTGAATTTAAACCAACGACCTTATGGTCTAGTGTTTATCCTACAGCACCACACCAGGACTCCACAAGGATGTATAGGGATAGACAAAGCATGCTCTTCTTCCTGCCTGATGTTGTTGATAAAAATATGCCCTTTACATATTGTAAATCAGGGGATGTGAGACTCCACAGAGGACAGGAAGGGGGTCTCCTGTCAAATGTCTAAGTTAAGGGCAAAGGTTACAGGAACAAGAGTCAGCTGATGATCTGGTACTTTCTGAAAGGTCTCCATCCTCCACCAGGCCATAAGATCTGGATTGGTAAAATGTTAAGTAGGAACAAGTGCTCACTCAAGTGGGTGGGACAGCATCCTTTGTGGGGCTTTTTCAAACGTTACACCCAGGGTTTTTTCCCACCCATTTTTCATTGAGGTGGATTTGAGCCTGAGGAAGGTGACCATGGCTTGCAACACTTTGTGCATCAGAAATTCACAAGATAACTTAGAATGGGGTGTGTTTTTCTATTAGGCCTTGTTCCTGTAGTGAAGCCTACAAAGAAACAATATTCTGCTATCTGACTCAGAAAAAAAGAGTAAGAAATGTGCAACTTCTCTCTACATTGTTGTCTAAACTACAGCGAGGCAGTTCTGCTATGCAGGAGGCAATTGTTAGGCAAGGTAAGTTTTTCTGATGGAAAATAAAATCCTGAAGGCATTTGCTTTAGCAAACCAAGTGGGAGTCCAGGGGGACTGACAGATGCCTCTGAATGTCTAGCTGCATGAAACAGCCCACAGCCAGGAGTGTGCTCCAGGTGGATTAGTTCCTTCCAGAAAGCCTCATGAGCTAAGTGAGGGATTCGCCTGGGGAGTGTCACTACCCATCGTTTTTCAGTCAGTATTTGGTTGAGGAAAGGATGAAATGCCTTTGCATCCAGTTTTGATAGGGGACACAGCAGCAGGTCATCACAGCTGCTCTCCTGACAGTCAACGCCTCCAGTCTCTGCAAGGGAGGAGAAATGCCTTTTCAACTTCAACCCTATGCATGACAAGAAGAGTCAATGAACATGTGGTGGGAAAGTAGCCATTGAATAGCCAGAAGTCCCCCCATGAAACAGGAGACAGACACCGGAGGGTAGGAAAATGCTCAGAGTCAGGAGACCTGGGTTCTAGTCTTGACAGCATCACTCGATTCCAGAGTGAAGTGGCCTTAGTTTATTCTTCTGTAAAATGGGGATAATATAGACTACACAGTGTGCTCTCACATGGGTGCTCTCACATGGATCAAATGAAATAATACAAGTGAAAGCCTTGTTTATATAAATTTACCTCCGGCACAGAGTAACTGCTTCGCTACAGCTCAACACTGATGTAGAGAGAACTTTTTGTTGTCAAGCACTATAGAGTCAGTTCCAGCTCATAATGACTCTGTATAATGTTTCTATAGTGACTCTGTATAAGGTTTCTATAGTGACTCTGTATAAGGTTTCTATAGTGACTGTATAAGGTTTCTATAGTGACTCTGTATAAGGTTTCTATAGTGACTCCGTATAAGGTTTCTATAGTGACTCCGTATAAGGTTTCTATAGTGACTCTGTATAAGGTTTCTGAGGAGCGGTTGGTGGACCACTGACTTGTTCATGAACCACTGACCTTGTGGTTAACCAGTCCAGTGCTTATCCTACAGCGCTACACCAGGAACCTAGAGAGAACTTGCACATCGCTTGTTTTTTCCTCATATGGAAAATCATAGACTATGATTTATTTTGGTGGAGATATAGGCTAAGTGGAAGTTTATACATAATGCTTACATGGTAAAATCTGTGAAATCTGGAACCTGTGTAAGGCAGAAACTGTCGGAGAAGGAAACCTCAAACATGTCATACTAAACAGAGGGCAACAGAGAAGTGGTAATTGCGCCCCACTTATGTGAGAAACCTGGAAAAACAAGGCAGTCCCATCAAATTGCTGCTCTCACAGGGCTTCATTATATAAAGAAAAGATATTGGCCATATATTATCATCATTACAGATGTCTGACAATTCCTTTATTATTACTATTAGTACTTAAATTTTCTATCGTGACCTTCCACACCCTTCGATCACACAGAGTTTGCATGAGAACATCAGTTACTGTACACAGTTGCATTCAACGGATGTGAACAGAAAAAAATCATGAAGGGACTGTTTTGGGAGCAAATGATATCTCTTCAGTGCCAGGGGAAGTGGGACAAAGTCAGGGTCCCTAGAACCCCTGTTTCTCCTATCCTGAAGGAAGATACAGTGAGTGGACAAGGCATTCCAGTGAGTGAGCTGAGAGAGCAAAGAGGAACAAGATGACGCCATGTGTCTGAGTATGTAGATGAGGCAAGCTGGGGGCAGGGCACCTGTGAGGACCTGAAGTTGGGGAATGCAAGTGTTGGGGGGTGGCTTGGCCTGTGATCTGAGCAGGTATGTCAATGATAACACAAATGGCTGCTTTTAAAGCTTGGAGTCTAGCTGACAAAAATACAGTGAGGACGACCTCATAACTCATAGGCAGTTTCATAATAACATAAAACCAATCATTGTCAAACGACTTGGTCAGTTTACAAAAAGTACAACAGGAAGACTCACAAAACACAGGGCAGCAGCATGACTGTAGCCACAGCTCAGGACCTGCATGGCTGGCCTGGAGAAACTGAATGACAGGCTACGTGAGGGACATTGGCTGCTGCGGGGCCTACTAGAAGGCCAGAGGAATACCCTTCCTGTCAATTCTGATTCCATTTCCAGGCTTAACCTCTCAACACAGTGCCTGGTTATGACCTGCCACATCTTATCTCCTTGTTTTTACTCTTAACCATATCTCCTCTTGCCTTGCTAACCAGATTACAGAGTCCTGGAGGGCAGGGATGGAGTCTTCTACTCATTTTGTTTCTCCTGTTGAGTGCATGACAGCCAGCAGTAAGATCAGCTGAGAGCATGCTGACAAGGAAAGGTTCTGCTAAGAAATCAATGATGCTAGGTCTCTGATAAAGCTGTGAAGACCCTCCTTTTTGTCCCCATACATCTGGGGGCTGGTGAGAGCCTGGGGAAAGCTTTTCAGATGAGAATGCTGAACATCAATTCTGGTGCTGAGTGTGGATCACACGGCTGTTCTACACACGTCTCTCCCAATCTGTTCATCCAGGGACATGGAGGCCACATAATCACTTGGAAGAGCAGGGCATTGCTTTTCACTCGTCAGTTTTAAACTGGTGTGATGCTGTAGGATAAGCACTGAACTGCTAACTGCAAGGCTGGCCATTCAAACCCACCAGCCTCTCCTTGGAAACCCTATATAGGGTTGCTAGAAGTTGGAGCTGATTTGACGGTACTTAGCAACACCAAGAGTTTTAAACAACATCTGACATTTGCTCCAGGCTCCAGCTGGTCACACTGGGTACTAGTCTCTCACTTTCTGGCTGACCCTCAGTCCTGAAACCCCAGTTCCCGTGTCCTAACTTCTACACAGTCCTTTCTCAGCCTTCTGCTGGGGCGACTTACACAACAAAAAAGTTAATGGACTAAAAGACTCCATCGCAAGCAACCCAAGACTCCGAGGCTACAGGCAGGGCTTTGTGACCCTGCATTTTGTGATTCCGCCTTTGCCTTCACACTGAGACCTCCCAGCCATACTCAGATGCTGAGTTTCAGTAAATCAAGTCATCAGAGTTGTGAGGATTCACATGGCCCACATAAAGCTATATTTTGCCCCAAAAGGACTCAGCATCATTCTTCAATGTGCAATGTAGCCTGTCACGTAATTAGGCAGCCCATGTAAAGACTGCTGAAAAGGCAAAGGCTCTCTTGCATATGTTGACCACAATGAAGATTCTTATTAAAAACATGTCACCCACATGAGCATTTGTGTTTTTCCTAAGTTGGGCTCCATAAAAATCCTACCTCCATAGTTTCCAACAATCACTTGTGTTTCTTACCTCTCCCCAGCTCACTACCCCCTGGCCATGACCAGCAGCTCTCACACCCTCTCTCAGTCTCTATCCCTTGGCCTCTAGGAAGCCTTACACTGCCTAGTGGGCAGTTGAGTCCACTGTAGACAGTTAACCATGGTGTCCCCATTTCTATGGGGAGACTGGCTCTGACCTCCGCATGTGTGTGGCACATGCCTGAGCAGCATGGAACTCACCCAGAGGGTGGTGGGAGCTCGGTGGTCTCCTGGGGAGGCTGGGGTCTCCTGGTCAGCTGCCTTCAGACTGCAGCTCCGGGGCCGTGGCCACTCCAGTTCTTCTGCTTGCTTCTCGCCCTTGCTCTTCTGCTTCCTTATGATCTGGGGAGGGGGCAGGTGACAAAAGGGGCAAGTTGTTGAAGAGGCCTCCAGGTGCTAAGGGGAGTAACTGAGACGACCACTGGAAATGTCCCACTGCAGAGTTTAGCTTCAGTGGATCACCAGCCTTTGTCAGATTTGCCTCCTGATAAAACGACACAACCACAACCTCGAGCATTTCTACAGCACTTTTATTGTTGTTGCTGTTAGTTGCCATCGAGTCAATTCTGATAATGGTGACCTGTGTCTGCAGAGGTCAACTGTTTCATAGGGTTTTTAAGAAAGTGACCTTTTAGAAGTAGATTACCAGGACTGTCTTCTGAAGTGCCTTTGGGCGGGTTTGAACTGCCAACTTTTAGGCTAGTGGTTGAGCACTGTTTACACCATCCAGTGTTTCCTCCACAGCACTTTATAGTTTGCAAATAATCTGCACTTTGATGATATTAACTTTGTAACTTATTAAGTGTCCACCACATGTCACACTGTTTCAGACCCTGCAAGCAGGGTTGCAGAAAGCTCATGGGAATATCCCATGATCTTTTCATTCCATTTTCCCACAGACTTTCTAAAGCCCGTCTGTACATTCTTTACCTCATTAAATCCTTAAGACAATTCGAAGACTTATGGGCTATAATTCCTCCCATTTTACAGATGAGGAAACAGGCCCAGAGAAGTCAAGATACTAGAATGAGCTTAAGAGTAATGGGCTTGGGTTTAGTTTTGGTTTTAGTTAAAGGTCACATGGCTCCTAAACAGTAGTTGTTGTTGTTAAGTTCTGACTCATAGTGACCCCTGTATAGGGTTTCTAAGGAGCAGCTAGTAAGTTTGAAATGGGAGTACTGGATTTCAAACCCAGCGTCTCCGGCTCTAACTCCATACTTTGTAAGAACCTGGAAACTGAACAGTCACTGAGGATGTTAAACTCATATGCACTATGTGCCATGCTGGGTATGGTCATTGTGGATTTACTGGGGCCTGTTTTCTCAGCTCTCTGGCCACCCATGTACCTACAGGCAGAAAACAGGGGAGAAAATGGTGAGCCACCAGGAAGAGCATGGTCTTCAGTGTTTTTGGACCAGACAAGGGGCTTAGACAGAGGCCAAGAGCCGACGTGTGCAATGACCTGAGCTACCTGCCCAGGAACACGGATGGGACCCTGCACATCCTTCCACTCGGAACTTGGGACTGCCACGGGCCAGTGACCATCTCTGCCATCTAGCCTGCCCCTCTGCAGGTAGCTAGGTTCCGTGCTCCTTCCTGTCCCTATTCAAAACTGTATGTCGGATATGTGGGGCAGATAATGTGTTTTTCCAGTTCACAGGTCTCCAGCTGCAAGATTGTTGTACCAGGAGTGAATGCACTTTGCACTGTGTTTGGGTGAAGCATTTGGGGGTCTTTGGGTGGGGATGAATGGACTTGGCACATGGAAGGGCATAGACTATTGTGACTAAAAGGGATGACTGTGGTAGATGGAAGTATGGGCCCCACTTATTCAACACCCCCTGTATGCATCCCCTGGCCATGTGACCCTGCAGTCCCTCCCAGCACAGGGAGATTCTCCTCTCCCTCTCCCTCTCCCTGCCTGTGAACTCAACCATGTGGTTCGCTTTGGCCAATGAAATATGAGGAGGGAGTAGGTAGGTAACTGTGTCTAGGCTGAAGCTAGGCCTTAAGAGGCATCACTTGCTTCTTGCTCTCTTGTGCCTTTTCCATGACGGAATAGCTGATGCACACTTAGGCCCCAAAGTGAACGTATTCCAGCATACCTGACCTCAACCACGGCTTCAAGCAGAGCCGTCTGCCAGGTCTACATCAACTGCACAGATGCATGAGCAAGAAAAAACCCAAAAACACCCTTTGGGGAGCTGTTTACTCAGCCGTAATGAACTGACACACCATTTAAAGGCTTGGAGCATGGAGGCAGCAGGGTAACTGCCGAGTCTCTTCAGTAAGAGAGTGTTTAGAAGTGTGGGAAACGGACACTATATCCAGCAAATGCATGTGTGTGCGTGCGTGTGCGCGCACGCACACACACACGCACACACACACACACATTTTCTCTCTCTCTCTCTACGATGCCTAGAGAACTGGAAGCCAGTGAGTAGCCAAGTTAGTGCTGAGCCCTTGGCTCCTCACTTACTAGCTCAGTCCCTAAAAGCAAACAATTCATACGTTTAGCAATGGTCCCCAGATCCCCGAAGACAACCGGGAGAAGGTTGCAGAAGAAATGGTGTCTGAGACCCCTCCCATATCTGCTCTTTACTTCATCTTGGCCTGGGTGGTAAACTCCAGCCCCTTGGACACCAGGGCCACCTACCTTTTGCAGGATGGTTGTGGCCAACTCCTCTGTCAGCTCCTCCTTGTGGTCCCGAAGGTAACTGGCCTCATTCTGCTTGTCCTGTAGAGGGAACAGAATGGCCAGGTGCTGTGGGAAGGTCGAGGGAGACTCAGCAATGACTCTCAATGCAGGGCTAGGTGGAGACAGATCTATTCAATCAGGGCTGCTCTGACAATGGCTTCCCTACGACCTTTCTCCTAGCAGCAGACCCACACCTCAAGGAGAGAGAAAGGGAGGCCGTACCAGGCTGTCCCCATAGGCTTCTGCTTTGCAAATTGCTTCTTCAATGGCCTCTTCTGCAACTCGTAGGGCGACAGCCAAAGTGTCCATCATGCTATGTCCTAGACAGGAAACAGAACACAGGCCACTTTCTGAAAGTAAATGACAAGCAAATGAATGCTCCACTTTAAGTTGTTCTGCTCACACCCCTCAGTGGCTCTAGGATAAATTCCACGTTGTATCAAGGCCCTTGGTACTCTCACTGCTCCGACTCATCATTATTCATTCTCCGTGCCCAGTCTAAGCAATTTATTTACAATTCTTTAAAAGCTAACGTCTCTACTCATGATTCCGTTACTGAGATGACTTCTGAAAAACCTTCTCAGATCACCCCCAGCATGCTCCCAGTCCCCACCTGCCTAATGCCCACCCAAGGTGCTCCCATAGCTAATGAGTTTTCTCACATAGAAGCCAGATGGACTCCATGTCCTCCCCCTGCCTAACACATTACTTAACAGGGAGTTGAGACTTGATCATACTCATTAGTTCATCCTATCTCCAAGCACAGCTTCAGGCACCCAGCTGAATGAACAAAAGAGCTTCATACAAGGGGTATCATGGTGTTCGTCTGTTCTCTCAGATTAAGACTATACCTATGTAATTGTGATGATGGGGACGAGAGTTATCAAATGTCTTAAACATCCTTGGTGTGCATATGGTTTAATACAAACATAAAATCCACCTAAGAATTTCTTTAGACTCTAAACCAGTAATATCAGCAAAAATCACCCTGGCCAACCTCACTGAGCCTGATGTTGGGCATGACCCCAGGCTGAATTTCATTTTACGACCACAGTTAGTCTTTACAATAATCCATGAGTAGGTACCCTAAGTATCCTTTTACAGATGAGAGAACTGATGCACAGACAGGTGAACTAACGTGCCCAAGGTTACACAGTGACACTACCACAGAGCTGAGACATGAAGTGAGACTTTCAGTCTCCAAAGACCATGATTTTAACTATAAAAGTGAGTAATAAAAGCCAACTTGTTTTCTTTTGAAAAAAAAAAAAAAACAACAAAAAAGTCAGCATCATACTTTTGGTGAATGTATTTTTTTAATAAAGCAGAAATCAGGAGAAAAGATTCCCAAATCAAAGGACTTCCTTGGGTACTAAAGTTCTTTATGGAGCTAAGTTTCCTTGAGGCATTAGATTTTTGTTTCATATTGATAAATGTGAATTTCTATCACCCTTAGTCTGCCCAAGACGCCCACCTATGTCAGGTACAGGAATGTAGTCTGCAGGGCTGCTTGTCTAAATTCCTATTTACCCAGGTTCAACCTCCTGCCTCCATTTAGAATCTCGTAGCCATGCATTATTTAACACATGCAAATCTCCTGTAAGCCGCCTCATATTCTTTGTGGAATGTATCAATTCATTAACCAAACATTCAATTAAAAATATAAATCCAAGCTTCTTAGATACACTGTGGGCAGAAAATGCATTTGGCAAACACATAAACATCAACTCAGTTAAGGGCACAATGCCTATAAGCCAGCTGTTCAGCATGCCACAGTGTGGCTGTGACAGTTGTGGTAAAGTCCTGTGGGTGCAACACAGCCCAGGGTACTGCACACCATGGGGGTGGCTAACTGAGCACATAGTCTTAAAAGACAGTAGGTGTTTCGCTAAGTCAGGCCTATAAAAGTTATGCTGTTACTACACCAAGGGCTTCCTGGAGAGAGACACTGGATCTCTCTTCTTCAAGGCACCTGCCATTGTATTTGTTACAGGAAGGCTGCTCCATAGATTTTTGAATCAAATAAAAGCTCGCCAAGTACCTTTATTCTCATTCTAGGCTCTGCGGCAATGCTCAGGAAGGTCCCTATGAACACACCAAGCCCATGCTCTTGTGTGATTCCAAACTACTGGAGGACCAGGTACTTCAGTCACTGCTGAGGGGCAGGGCAGTAGATCCTATGATAGGATTGGTTACCAAGTTCCATGGATCCCTGGAAATAAGAACCTGAAGCTATACCAATAAGACTTTGGATACCATCTTTGTGTTTCTGAGTTTTAGATGTAAACGATGTTGAACACTGAAGATGTTTCTGCTAAAAGTGAAGTCTCAGGTTGGTGTTTCAGAGGGAAAAACTATCAGGGATTGTGGAAGTAGAATCAGCAAGCTGAATGCCTGAAGGGCAGACAACCAGTTGGATAGTTACTGACATTAATAAAAGGGAGTAGTGGATGGAGGTGCTCAGACCATGGACACCAGAGTGGAAAGGAAGGGATAAAATTGGAAATAGGTGTGACAGGAGCTCTGGTGACTGGGTGGCAGTGAGACGGGAGTTTGAGAGAAAGACAGCTGTAGCTCTTGTTGGTGCATGAGGAGGCTGAGGAGCTCAACTGAAACATGCTAAGGTTCAGAGCCCATGGACTCTTCAGGTCCTGATGGGCAGGAATAGAGATTTGAGTAAGAAACTCTGGACCAAGATCAGGACTGGGCATTTCTGGGTCAGCAGCATCTGGTGGTGGTTCATGGAGCCCACATGACGGTGTGAGGTGGCACATGGGGAAGTTGCAGACAGCATGGATGACAGGAGATGGGAAAATCACAAGAAGCCCAAAGAGAAAGATCATAGAGAGTATAGTAGAAGGAGAGCGAGACAGTGGAGGGCCACAAGAGGAAGGCGACTCAGAAGGAACTGGTTTACCAATTTCTAGTATTTCAGAGACGGATGTGAAATGATGGAGAAGGCTTTATTTTAAATTAGAAGTTTCTTTTTCTTTTGACCCCTACTCTAAGGGGACTATTGCACTGGTATAAAGAAAGTAGAAGTTAATCAATACATGATACATTCTTTATATTATTCAAATATAAGATGTGAAAGTGAGCAGACTCCTTGTTACATTGCTCCCAGCAAAAACCCCTCACTAGTTGAATGTAAGGAATCAAGTGGTTGTGGGTAGTGAACCTCACCTATGGACCACACTTTGGATATACATAAGCACTTATTCTGATGATGGGATCATACAAATCAGTACCAAGAAGACCTATGGAGATTCTCACACAGCAATATATAGTTACATCCTGGGGATACAAGGCAACAGAGAGACCCTGGCAATATCTGAAGACTTTTCCATTCGTCCAACTGCCCATTCACTGCACAGTGGGTTAATGTGCTGGACTACATACTTGGTTTGAACTGCAAGGTTGGTGGTTCAAGTTCGTCAGCTGCTCCTCGGAAACCCTACACAATGGGGTCGGTAGGGGTCGGAACTGACTCGACAGCACTGGATTAGCAATGAACCGCAAAGCTAGTTTGAACCACAAGGTTGGAGACTGAAACTAATCAGCCAGGCCTTGGAAACCCTATACAGGGTCGGTATGAGTTGAAACTGACTCACTGGTACTTAAAAACAACAATAACAACTATTAAGCCACCTTACCTTCTGACTGCCTATAGAATGTTGAATCACTGCCTGAAATGCTTTCTTCATTTTCCAGGTTTGCCTCAAAAAAGCTTCCCCCTAGAGAAAAGACAGAGAGAGGCGAAAGGGGAAGAGAAAATGAGTATCGAAGGTCTTCATGATTAAGCATTGGTGTACTGTGTCCCTGACCTGACAGCCACCACTGTCTGAGTTAGCTTTGCCAGTAGTGTTTGGAAACCACTGAGTCCCATGGTAGTCTAACGATTTTTGAGCTGTCACATTTTTCCAGACCTGCAAAAAAAGGACTTATGGCAGCAGTAAGAAAAGAACTCCTTTTTAAGTGTGATAGGACTTCATGTAGCTGGTGTTTACTATAGTCCATGGCATCAACCCAAACAGCTGCCATGAGCCAATGACTTCATTGTCGACACTCCCCATTCCATAGAAGAGAATCAGGTACCCAGGGGAAAGCTAGGGAAGTCATGGTATTTGATCTTTCAAGTTCCAGCGGCTTTTCACTTGTCTCCAGATGAAATATAAAACCCTGATATTAGTTCCAGGCCTGGGAAGAGCAGCCAGGTAAACAAAACTAACTTTTTAAAAAAAAAGTTCTTTTTAAGTTGTGGGGTTGTACTCTCTCTGCATAATAATTCATCAAATGAGATCTTTGAAGGGGACTATGGTAACTTAGTGGTTATGAATCGAGCTGCGAACTGCAAGGTCAGCAGTTCAAAACTACCAGCTGTTCCGCAGGAGAAAGATGAGGCTTTCTGCTCCTGTAAAGATTTATAGCCTTGGAAACCCTGTACAGGGTTGCTATGAGCTGGAACCGACTCCACGGCACATAGCAACAACATGGTAACTTAACAAATAAAGTCACTGTATTTTGGGTATGCAGAGAGTGCCTAGACAGAGCATGTGGCTCCAAATTCTTCATTGAATTAGGTACTGGTTAAAATCCCGATAAGACAGAACCCAAAAAACAAGCATGAAGCTACCGTGCCTTCGCTCAAACGGGCACACACCACGATGCCAAGTCGACCTCAGCAAAACGCCTTCAGTAAGTATGACACACCCCGCTCTTTCTTGTAAGGGCAGATTCATGAAGTGAGCCACTGATGTGGTGATTCCATGGCAACTCAGCCTGACCTGGTGCCATTCTGGGTGGAGTGCACACTGTATGTTTGTGTTTTCTGACTGTCAAAAGACCTCATGTCTCCTTAGCGTAGCTCTATAGGGAGAATAGCGCTCAGCTGCTAACTGAAAATCCAGTGCTTCAAACCCACCAACTGCTCCAGAGGAGAAAGATTATAGCCTACGAAACCAGAACACTACGGCAGAAGTTTTCATAAGTCATCATATAGGGTCACCGTGAGTTGTCATTGATTTGTTGGCAAACAACAAGATATGAAATCGTCTCAATTTCTAGACCATACATCTAATGCAAATATCTCACAATGGCATGGCTATACCTAGTATGGATTCATTCATACATACAACAAATACTCTATGAGCACCTATTATGGGCCTTGGCTTGGGTTGGATGCTCAGGCTACTTTGGTGAGCAAAGCCTAAGCCTCCGTCCACCCTGATGAACTTGATAGTTTATTACAGATTTAGATAAAGATGAAATTGTTGTTGTTGTTAAGTACCCTCCAGTAAGTTCCGACTCAAAGGGATCCTATAAAGGGTTTCCAAGGAGCAGTTTGTTGTTGTTGTTGTTAAGTGCCTTCGAGTCGGTTCCGACCCATAGCGACCCTGTACAGGGTTTCCGAGGGTGTAAATCTTTACGGGAGTAGAAAGCCTCATCTTTCTCCCGCGGAACGGCTGGTAGTTTCGAACTGCTGGCCTTAAGGTTCGCAGCCTGATTCGTAACCACTACGCTACCAGAGGGAGCAGTTAGTGGGGTTGAATTGCTGACCTTGTGGTTCATAATTCAGTGCTGATCCTACAGCGCCACAAGTGCACTAATGGGGTGGTTCATGGTACAGTGAAATGTTCGGTAAGGAAGACTGATCTAGTCAAGGGGCCATGGAGGTTGGAAAGCATTTAGGACTGAGAGAACAGCATGCACAGAAACTGGCAGCAGGGTGACCCTGAGGACCGAAGATGACCCGTGGCTGGGTAGCAGAGAGAAGCATGGGAGAAGACAGCCCTGAAGACCCCTACCACACAAGTTGTGACAGCCACATCAGTCCTATGAAACCATGAAAGGTCTCATAGAGTTGATCTAGATCTGTGCTTCTAAATGTGGATTCTGAGTAAGGTCAGAGAACAGCCTGGAAGTGGGCTAGGCAGGTACAGCATGCAGAAGGACAGGAACTAAAAGGTGAGAGAGCGTAGCTGGCTTTCTGGAATTTACTTGTGATGGGAAAGCAAACGGCAGGACAGTGAAGTGGAGAGAAATGTGTGGGGTAGGAATTTGGGCATGTTTATACATCACTAGGAAGGAGCCAGGATGAGAGGGTTGAATAGGCAAGAAGGAAGTGACCTTGAGGCATTTCTGGAAGGCGGACAGCAATGAAATGCCAAGAGCAGAAAGGTAGGTGACAGAGCTGGGGTGGCATCTCTACTGCAGCCTCCTGAAGCTGGTGGACAGCTGAATACAGAGAGCTAGGCTTGTGTATCTGGAAGAAGGAAGGTGAGGAAGTCCCTGTGTGGTGTACTACCTAACCCAGTGAAAGAGGAAGTCAGGCTGTCAGCTGAGAAAATAGAAGAGATGGATGATGGGTGATATGAGGAGAGTGGAGAAGATGGGGCTGGGGGGAGGTGTTAGAGAAAAAATCTCAGGAAGACTGAGTTGACCAGAGAAAACACACTGACTTTACATGACTTCAGTTTTTCTGGCCCAACACTTCTCCCTCTGTTTGCCTTTAAATTTATGCATGAGAGCTTCAGGGTCATTTGGGAGCATGCGCTTCTCCCAAGGGCAGAAAGTAATTGAACTGTTCCTGAAAGCACAGTGCAGTAGCCTGATGACATTAAGTCACTGTTTTTCAGCAGCTGAGAGAACCTCTGATTTCAGGTGGCTCAGCATTTTCAGAAGATCACATGAGTCAATCAAATTCCCCATGAGAGACCTTTTCAGGAATCATGCCAAAAAACAGATAGTGATAATAAATCAAAGCAGGCTTTATTTTTCTTGTTCAATAATGAATAAAAACATATGATTTTTGTAACTGTCCAGAGATTCAGTATATTAATAACAGCTACTTGATCTTCTTGTGTAGTGTGTGTGTGTGTTTTTTTTTTTTTTTTTTGTATTAGGATGTTAAAATTGTGATGCTGGGCCTATCAGATGAGTCTTTTAAGCACTTAGTACCATCTGATAAAATGTTATTTTGTACATTTGTTTAGTATTTATCTGATATTACCAGAATGCCAGGGTCTTACCTGTCACTGATGAGCCCCTGACTCTTAAGCTAAGTGGGCACAGAGTAGGTATCTAATAAATGCTGACTGAAGGAAAGACAAACCTTAGATGTTGCTGATAAAGTTAATGGGTCTCATTTTTAGTCTAACTTGGCCACCTGTTGAGGCAGAAGAAGGAGTAGAGCTGGTTCAGGAGGGCTGAGCTGATGGTAATGCTAGATGTGCAGGTGATGAATGACCCATGGGCTTCTGTGAACTAAATACATTTTCAGGGGACTAAATGTTTATGTTTGTGTGACAACTCTGCTGGCCCACACAGTAGATATGTTTTGTAGATGAAAGGGGCTTTCTACTGAGGGTTCAGGTGCACAGCCATGCTCAGGATACTGTAGACACTGTACATGATGCTTGGCATCAAATGTTGGAGTTGACATGGGTCAGTGGTAGAATCCTTGCCATCTATGTGGGAGAGCTGGGTTCAGTTCACCTATGTGCAGCCACCACCCATCTGTTGGTCAGTGAGGCTTGCCTATTGCTATGATGCAGCACTTTTAGACAAGGATAGACTAAAAAGAAAGGCCTGAAACTCTGCTTCTAGAAATAAGACCATAATGAAAACCTATGGATCACAATGGTTCTGTAAAGGATCATGGGAAGAGCAGAGAACCAGGCAGCATTGTGTGCACTGTGCATGGGGTCACCGTGACTCGAAGACCCCCCAGGCTGACTTGATGACAATAACAAACACAGCTGGAATTAATGACGGAGCCAGCTTATTCAGAATTATGCTGAGCGAAACTGGAAAAGTCTAGCTGAGGTTAGAACCTCATTGCATGAACTTTAAAACAATCTGGGGGTGGGGGTGGGGATCCATTGTGGGTCCCAGAAGTAACTGGTTGGGAGTCGAGGATGGCCTTGGATAATAGGATATTTTTCAAAGGTCTCTAGGTGATTCCAATGCATAGCCAATATTAAGAATGACAAGTGACAATCACACAAAAAAGTGTTCATTATAAAACTAACACAACTCCTCAGTCATCTAACACAACCAGGAGGTCATCTTACCATGGGAAGATTTATCCACACTTAAGGTGAAGCTAAATTTATTGGTCGATATACATATAAAGAATTTCATTGCTTTATGATTACAGCTTTGCAAGTTTGAGTGTCATTTCAAATACTGTCTCCTGACTGCTTGTCTTGGGAGCAAGCAAGTGTTTTGGAATGTGGAGATAAGCACTGGACTGAAATCTACAAGGTCAGTGGTTTGAGCCCACCAGCTAATCCATGGGAGACTGATAAGGCTGTCTGTTCTTGCAAAGATTCACAAGCTTGGAAACCCTATACAGGGTTGTTATGAGTCAGAACCGTCTTCAGAGCACTTAACACAACCACCTGGAGTCCTGGTGTAGTGCTGCAGGCTGATGCGTTGGACAGCAAGGTCAGTTTGAATGGCCAGGTCAGCAGTTTAAGCTCACCAGCTGTTCTTCAGAAATGCTGTACAGGGTTGCTACGAGTTGGAACTGACTTGAGGGTACTTTAATACCACTACCACCACCTCTATGCCAATATTTGCAGGTTCAACTTTGTGAACCATCACCTACATGCAATGTGTGTTGTGATGGCGGCTTGTGGGAAAGACACGGGAATCAGTGTGCACCATACCTCAGTCAGCTTCAATCATGGAAGATACTTATTTTGAGCAAACGCGTCTTCTTTGAAAATGA